GTAACCCAGGTCAGTTTTGGGAAGCAGGTCGTCCCTCGCATTAATTTCCTTGATGGCAAACAACATGGTCTGTGCCCAGCGGAAGGTACGAAAGTTAAACCTACAGGATGATAAGTGACGAAGGAACAGCAGATTAATAAAGATCAGCCAGTACAAACAATAGTGCAAGAAAGAACCTTTCTTTCAGTTAATACAGGTATTCAGTGTATGCAGAAAATGACAATACATGAAAACCAACTAATTGCAATCCATTTTAGTCTTGTGACATTCTAATTTAAACTAGCCCTTAATAAATTTGTTGATTATTGCTGTGTGCTACACTTTGTAGGCCTGCCTCCATAATAATATGGCCTGCTGTAATTAATTGGCCCCAGAGGTGTTACACTACTCCGTCTTGATTCTGTTATAAAATTATGAAGCCAAGACTCCCAGGAGTAAACTGTCAGGTAGGAAAGTACTAAAATGAGGATACTTTAATAAAATTTCTTTATTCATTTAAGATCCTAAATAAGTTTTCAAGTTAAATTTTAGTTTGTTTAATACCAGCGCCCTAAGCTAGAAGACTAACCCAGCATAGCAACGATGATGAAAAAAGACATAAACATGCCCGACTCACCCCACACAGCCTGAGGAGAGAGGCACACTCGAAGTGTTGCCCTTGTTGGAAGCAACGCGCTGGTGAACAGGAAACATTCCCCCAACCACGACAGTCTTCTTTTCTACGTCCTTATAGCCGCCCAGGTTGAACTTGGCCTTCAGCTTGCATGTAGATTGTGCCGAGAGAGGTCTGAAGATGCAGAAAAGGGCACACAATCCAAGGAAAAAGAGTTTGATGTCCATGCTGTGTAGACGCAGACAGGGGTTGTGAGCTCTAGTAGCTGTAGACAGCAAATGGAAGCAGAAATGTTCGACAGGTGTCTTATCTGCTCTCTGGGGAAAAGTGCTGCACGAGGCAACCTTACAGATTCAGCAGAGAAAAAGAGAAGAGGAGGGCCCCGAGTTGAAATGAGCAGTATTTTCTCAATATGAAACACGGACAAGGCCTTTTAAATTTTGATTAAACACACAAGCTTTATGCCAATTTGTCATTAATAATGTAACAATAATAATAAAGTAGGCGTGCTTCAAATCCAAAGGCTGCAAACAGGTTTAAATCTCTTTTAAAGAAAAAAATCTGGACTTTGGGTCCACCAAAGATTCACAAAAAAACAAACACATCAACACATCTGCCTCAAACTCCTAGAAACATCCCATCATTTAATTTCGTTTATCTCTGCGCTCTCTGTATGAAAATACCAAGCAGTTCATTAGTCTGTGCTGCAGATAAACCGCCACCGGCCAGGAGTTAATTGGCAGCTGCATGTGATAACTTGTACAGTCTCTATGCAATATTACAACGCTGCGACTGTTTCTAAATCGTCCCTTGTCCCCTGCGTACGGGTCTGGGTGTGTTGATGGGTGACTGTCTGCTTGTCTGCTCATGTTTCTCAGTCAGAGGGGAGCAGCAAACACCTGAACCCCTGGCACGCAGAGGGACGCGGGTTAGGTAACGATGGTTGACTGCACACAATAGGTGCATAATAAAACTAAATTACACTGAAGCCCATTACAGTCTAAAGCTTTTATGTGTGTCTGTGTTAGTACATTAAGTAATATTAAAGTGAGGAAAGCAGCAATCTAAAAGCTCGTATATTTGGTTGTGTTGCATTTACAGTTGAATGATGAAACTTGGCCTCAGGGGTCTGTGCGTGGGAGCAGGAGTGTGTGATTAGGTCTTTGTGATTTGTTTCAGAATGATGCTGATGAGATCGGCAAGAAATCAATTGTGTGTAATTATTTACATTAAATGTTGTTTCAAATGTGCTGTGTAGGTTTCAAAAGCACATTTGTTCATTTTGAAGAAACTTAGATGTGACGAAAGATAAGGTAGTCATGTGAAATGAACGCCTTTATAGGACTGTATGTACTCCTGTGAAAAGTTTGTACATCCCACCATGACTCAGCAGCTTTTCGATCAACCCTCAGTAGCAAGAAGTTGTACTGATCGTTTTCTATATCATCAGCATTGTGGAGGAATTTTGGGCCACTGTTCTGTAAAATGTTGCTTCAGTTCACTGAGCTTTACAGTCACCTTCTCTTTTTCAGATATTCTTTTGTAGATTTGATTTAAAGTTGATTAAAAGACTGAGGGGGGGTTCAGGTAGCTGCAAAACAAGCCCAAATCACTCCTCTACCGCCGTGCTGAGCAGCTGATATGCTGCGTCCACTGTTCTCAATTGATCACAAAGTCCTGTGATTTGGTCCTAAGGTTTGACCTTGGGGTGAATTTTCATGGACATTCACTCTTAAGATTGTGGGATCATGTTAACACAAACCTGATGCAGCCCAGCAATAACTTTGCAGCTCTTTTGTTGTAAATGAGCATGTTAACATTAAATAACCCACCTATTTACAAGACAGATCAAGAGCATCTCAAGTTGCCCTTAAGAGTAAAAAGTGCATTATAAAAACATGACTCAAGTTTTTGCCTGCTGTCATAAGCGACAGCAGGTCTTTTGCTGTCATAAAAGACCTGCTTTTGCTTGGATTCTTTGCACCTGCAAGAATCCAAACAGGTGCTTGGATTCTTGTTTTGGTTTGGCAGGCCGGAGTAATGTCTGAAAATACAAAGGCCTTGAAATTGTCAGCAAATTATCCTTGTGCCTGAGATTTATTTAGTTAGATGATTATTATGAAAAAAACTTTTTAAAACTGCACTTTTTTTTTTTTGCAATTTTCACTTTGTGGACCAACTGGGCCTTTTGGCAGGTCATGTTTATTAAGCCTGATTTTAGGAATAAGATGGGTTAATATAAACTGCAGACTTCCACTTTAATTTTAAAATATTAACTAGAATTTTGTTTATTACAGTATTCTGTTGACTTTTATATCTCTGTGGGTTAACAATTAGTGTTTTACTGCATTTTTATTAGAAATGTATCAGTGCTTTTTTTGGGTGTGTACCCACTAAAGGTAATTGTGTAAATTAAAAATGAATACAGAAATCTGAAAGGCAAAACAGAAATTGTTACAAATAAGACGCTTTTCATAGAAGTGGTAAGTTTCAACATTGAGATCTTTATTAAAGCTCAGTTTTCCATTGTACAAATGTCATAGTTGAAACTGCATGCAGTGGCTTGGTTTGAGGCACGTTACTAAGGAGAATGAGCATTGTTGACTAAAAACACACAAACAGAAAAATAATAATCGGATGTAGAATTGCATAACTTAATCTCATGGATATTTCAATCAAATTGAACTACAAAGTCATATGTCCATTATTAGCTATTGTTTTTTGTTTTTCTCGTTTTAAATTGGAGACACGTAACATAAACACAGATGTATAAAAAGGCAGAACAGAGGGAAGGACACTGCAGTTAAGACAAGTTTGGG